AGCCTGTATCTCTAACCGTTTAGGAGATATCGAAGGTTAAAGTTTTCCAACCTTTCTCCGTCGATATCCATCTTCATCCGTCGATATCTCCGCTTCTACTGGGAGTAGAGAGTCGTCCATGTAGTCCAAAATGTAGGGTTTTGAAAGGGCTTTAATTTGGTACCTGTCCGAAGCCTGTATCTCTAACCGTTTAGGAGATATCGAAGGTTAAAGTTTTCCAACCTTTCTCCGTCGATATCTCCGCTTCTACTGGGAGTAGAGAGTCGTCCATGTAGTCCAAAATGTAGGGTTTTGAAAGGGCTTTAATTTGGTACCTGTCCGAAGCCTGTATCTCTAACCGTTTAGGAGATATCGAAGGTTAAAGTTTTCCAACCTTTCTCCGTCGATATCCATCTTCATCCGTCGATATCTCCGCTTCTACTGGGAGTAGAGAGTCGTCCATGTAGTCCAAAATGTAGGGTTTTGAAAGGGCTTTAATTTGGTACCTGTCCGAAGCCTGTATCTCTAACCGTTTAGGAGATATCGAAGGTTAAAGTTTTCCAACCTTTCTCCGTCGATATCTCCGCTTCTACTGGGAGTAGAGAGTCGTCCATGTAGTGCAAAATGTAGGGTTTTGAAAGGGCTTTAATTTGGTACCTGTCCGAAGCCTGTATCTCTAACCGTTTAGGAGATATCGAAGGTTAAAGTTTTCCAACCTTTCTCCGTCGATATCCAGCTTTCATCCGTCGATATCTCCGCTTCTACTGGGAGTAGAGAGTCGTCCATGTAGTCCAAAATGTAGGGTTTTGAAAGGGCTTTAATTTGGTACCTGTCCGAAGCCTGTATCTCTAACCGTTTAGGAGATATCGAAGGTTAAAGTTTTCCAACCTTTCTCCGTCGATATCTCCGCTTCTACTGGGAGTAGAGAGTCGTCCATGTAGTGCAAAATGTAGGGTTTTGAAAGGGCTTTAATTTGGTACCTGTCCGAAGCCTGTATCTCTAACCGTTTAGGAGATATCGAAGGTTAAAGTTTTCCAACCTTTCTCCGTCGATATCCATCTTCATCCGTCGATATCTCCGCTTCTACTGGGAGTAGAGAGTCGTCCATGTAGTCCAAAATGTAGGGTTTTGAAAGGGCTTTAATTTGGTACCTGTCCGAAGCCTGTATCTCTAACCGTTTAGGAGATATCGAAGGTTAAAGTTTTCCAACCTTTCTCCGTCGATATCTCCGCTTCTACTGGGAGTAGAGAGTCGTCCATGTAGTGCAAAATGTAGGGTTTTGAAAGGGCTTTAATTTGGTACCTGTCCGAAGCCTGTATCTCTAACCGTTTAGGAGATATCGAAGGTTAAAGTTTTCCAACCTTTCTCCGTCGATATCCATCCTTCATCCGTCGATATCTCCGCTTCTACTGGGAGTAGATGGTCGTCCATGTAGTCCAAAATGTAGGGTTTTGAAAGGGCTTTAATTTGGTACCTGTCCGAAGCCTGTATCTCTAACCGTTTAGGAGATATCGAAGGTTAAAGTTTTCCAACCTTTCTCCGTCGATATCTCCGCTTCTACTGGGAGTAGAGAGTCGTCCATGTAGTGCAAAATGTAGGGTTTTGAAAGGGCTTTAATTTGGTACCTGTCCGAAGCCTGTATCTCTAACCGTTTAGGAGATATCGAAGGTTAAAGTTTTCCAACCTTTCTCCGTCGATATCCAGTCTTCATCCGTCGATATCTCCGCTTCTACTGGGAGTAGAGAGTCGTCCATGTAGTCCAAAATGTAGGGTTTTGAAAGGGCTTTAATTTGGTACCTGTCCGAAGCCTGTATCTCTAACCGTTTAGGAGATATCGAAGGTTAAAGTTTTCCAACCTTTCTCCGTCGATATCCACCTTCATCCGTCGATATCTCCGCTTCTACTGGGAGTAGAGAGTCGTCCATGTAGTCCAAAATGTAGGGTTTTGAAAGGGCTTTAATTTGGTACCTGTCCGAAGCCTGTATCTCTAACCGTTTAGGAGATATCGAAGGTTAAAGTTTTCCAACCTTTCTCCGTCGATATCTCCGCTTCTACTGGGAGTAGAGAGTCGTCCATGTAGTGCAAAATGTAGGGTTTTGAAAGGGCTTTAATTTGGTACCTGTCCGAAGCCTGTATCTCTAACCGTTTAGGAGATATCGAAGGTTAAAGTTTTCCAACCTTTCTCCGTCGATATCCAGTCTTCATCCGTCGATATCTCCGCTTCTACTGGGAGTAGAGAGTCGTCCATGTAGTCCAAAATGTAGGGTTTTGAAAGGGCTTTAATTTGGTACCTGTCCGAAGCCTGTATCTCTAACCGTTTAGGAGATATCGAAGGTTAAAGTTTTCCAACCTTTCTCCGTCGATATCTCCGCTTCTACTGGGAGTAGAGAGTCGTCCATGTAGTCCAAAATGTAGGGTTTTGAAAGGGCTTTAATTTGGTACCTGTCCGAAGCCTGTATCTCTAACCGTTTAGGAGATATCGAAGGTTAAAGTTTTCCAACCTTTCTCCGTCGATATCTCCGCTTCTACTGGGAGTAGAGAGTCGTCCATGTAGTGCAAAATGTAGGGTTTTGAAAGGGCTTTAATTTGGTACCTGTCCGAAGCCTGTATCTCTAACCGTTTAGGAGATATCGAAGGTTAAAGTTTTCCAACCTTTCTCCGTCGATATCCAGTCTTCATCCGTCGATATCTCCGCTTCTACTGGGAGTAGAGAGTCGTCCATGTAGTCCAAAATGTAGGGTTTTGAAAGGGCTTTAATTTGGTACCTGTCCGAAGCCTGTATCTCTAACCGTTTAGGAGATATCGAAGGTTAAAGTTTTCCAACCTTTCTGTCTATCCATCTTCATCCGTCGATATCTCCGCTTCTACTGGGAGTAGAGAGTCGTCCATGTAGTCCAAAATGTAGGGTTTTGAAAGGGCTTTAATTTGGTACCTGTCCGAAGCCTGTATCTCTAACCGTTTAGGAGATATCGAAGGTTAAAGTTTTCCAACCTTTCTCCGTCGATATCCATCTTCATCCGTCGATATCTCCGCTTCTACTGGGAGTAGAGAGTCGTCCATGTAGTCCAAAATGTAGGGTTTTGAAAGGGCTTTAATTTGGTACCTGTCCGAAGCCTGTATCTCTAACCGTTTAGGAGATATCGAAGGTTAAAGTTTTCCAACCTTTCTCCGTCGATATCTCCGCTTCTACTGGGAGTAGAGAGTCGTCCATGTAGTGCAAAATGTAGGGTTTTGAAAGGGCTTTAATTTGGTACCTGTCCGAAGCCTGTATCTCTAACCGTTTAGGAGATATCGAAGGTTAAAGTTTTCCAACCTTTCTCCGTCGATATCCATCTTCATCCGTCGATATCTCCGCTTCTACTGGGAGTAGAGAGTCGTCCATGTAGTCCAAAATGTAGGGTTTTGAAAGGGCTTTAATTTGGTACCTGTCCGAAGCCTGTATCTCTAACCGTTTAGGAGATATCGAAGGTTAAAGTTTTCCAACCTTTCTCCGTCGATATCCATCCTTCCGTCGATATCTCCGCTTCTACTGGGAGTAGAGGTCGTCCATGTAGTCCAAAATGTAGGGTTTTGAAAGGGCTTTAATTTGGTACCTGTCCGAAGCCTGTATCTCTAACCGTTTAGGAGATATCGAAGGTTAAAGATTTCCAACCTTTCTCCGTCGATATCTCCGCTTCTACTGGGAGTAGAAAGTCGTCCATGTAGTGCAAAATGTAGGGTTTTGAAAGGGCTTTAATTTGGTACCTGTCCGAAGCCTGTATCTCTAACCGTTTAGGAGATATCGAAGTTTAAAGTTTTCCAACCTTTCTCCGTCGATATCCATCCTTCATCCGTCGATATCTCCGCTTCTACTGGGAGTAGAGGGTCGTCCATGTAGTCCAAAATGTAGGGTTTTCAAAGGGCTTTAATTTGGTACCTGTCCGAAGCCTGTATCTCTAACCGTTTAGGAGATATCGAAGGTTAAAGTTTTCCAACCTTTCTCCGTCGATATCTCCGCTTCTCCTGGGAGTAGAGAGTCGTCCATGTAGTCGAAAATGTAGGGTTTTGAGAGGATTTTAATTTGGTGCCAGACCGAGGCCTGTGTCTCTAATCGTTTAGGAGATATCCAATGATGAATATCGGCCGCAGTTTAATTATTGTCTTCAGTTATGTTTTTTTAAACATCTCAATTCAATTTTTTAAACTATCTCAATTCAATAAATATTTTTACTTTCCGTTCTCAGGGAATGCACACTAGTCTTCTTCGAGGAGGAAAATGTGGTCTTAACTCTTCTATAAGGTGGCGTGCTAAATCCCGAGATAATCGATGCTTATAAATTGTTCTTTAGGAAGGACAAATCGATCGGACATATCTCTGATTGTTCGTCTCATTTGATTTGCAGGTAATGCAGCAAGGCGTTGCCTTTCTCTCTCCCGACGTATTACGGCCAACTGCAATATTTACATAATAGGAAACAAATATATGCATAAATGCTGTGAAATAAACAAATAATATATATGTACATTATAATTATAACGATATCTATGTATAGTTTTTTCATTATTAAATAAGTAATGAAATAATATATAATTATGCTTAAACAATTATAAACAATTCTGATACTTATCATTGTCACGACTTAAGCCAACGGCACACGGTTCTTGTTTTCGTGCTGGATTGCTTGCTGGATGAAAATACTCTGATCTGATTGGTGCATTTCCATCCATCTTCGGAAAAGTACCAATCAGAACGCAGTATTTTCATCCAGCAAGCAATCCAGCACGAAAACAAGCACTGTGTGCCACTGGTTTTATTAATTAAAGCCAGCGGCACACGGTGCTTGTTTTCGTGCTGGATTACTTGCTAAATGAAAATACTACGTTCTGATTGATGCATTTCCGAAGATGGATGGAAATGCATCAGTCAGAATGCAGTAATTTCATCCAGCAAGCAATCCAGCACGAAAACGAGCACCGTGTGCCGCTGGCTTAAGATACAGAGAAGAGAGAGCATCCGGGCGACATTTCCGAACGCACCTTTAGTTATGCCTGCATTTCGTACTTTTTTTAACGATATTTCGGTCGGAATTGACTTTCCGCTTTCTCTCGGGGTATCGGAAAGTTGAAGTCCGAATTGATTCGGAAAATTTCCGATCGATTCGTAAACAATCCGTAAACAGTCCATAATAAGGTAATCGTCGATAAACGGAATTGTTCCTGTCGGAATCGATTCCGACGAGTTTCATAATAGGTACCCAGGAGCAAAGCCATGTGAGTTTTATGAAGGAAAATGGCGTCTGATAAACAAAGTATATTAAGAAAACGAAAATTAGTAAACGTTGGAAGTGATTCGGACAATGAGGCGGAAAGTGAGTATAAATGATTTTATGTGGTACAGTATAATCGATGATTTAAATCAACACGTTTTAGATGTACGTTACGATTTCGTGGAACGCAAGAAAGCGCTGTTTACATGCATTTTAAGGTTAAATGACGTTCGGTGCGTGACGATTTTTTTGTTCTTTTGCGAAAATTTTGCATAATAATGTGATTTGAGTACTTGTAAGTGATATAGTTACGTAAGAAGACAACAATAGCATTTTACATTGAAGCAAGAAAGAAAATAAGGAGAAAAAACGTTGAGAGAAGAAAAAGAGTTGTTTGACAATTGTATGTTTTTCTTTTGCAGAGAATGGGAAACATGTGACAAGAACGAAATCAGAAGCACCACGACTGTGTCCATATTTGGATACGATTAATCGACAGTTTCTGGATTTTGACTTTGAAAAATTGTGCTCTGTATCGTTGTCTAGAATCAATGTGTATGCTTGTTTAGTTTGCGGCAAATACTTTCAAGGCAGAGGAAGTAATACACATGCGTACACTCATAGTGTAGCGGATACTCATCATGTTTTCCTTAATCTACATACACTCAAATTTTATTGTCTGCCAGATAATTACGAGATAGTAGGTAAGTGTATTATTTTGTATTTTTCTTTTCTTCGGTGATCAAAATGACATAATAATCTCATGCACATATGTCTGTTTATCAGATTCCTCGTTGGATGACATTAAGTATGTATTGAACCCAACCTTTGACAAAACACAAATAGCACAGCTAGATAAAAGTGACAAACAGTCCAGAGCAATCGATGGCTCCATGTATTCACCAGGAATAGTAGGAATGAATAACATAAAAGCAAATGACTATTGCAATGTCATTTTACAGGTAATTTACATTAATTCTTTATATAAATTTATGTAAATTCTTATTATAATCCTTGTGATTCTCATAGGCACTTTCACACGTCACACCTTTGAGAGACTTTTTCTTAAGGGAATCTAATTATTCCCATGTAAAGAGACCACCTGGTGATTCATCCTACCTTTTGGTACAACGATTTGGAGAACTTATGCGAAAATTATGGAATCCACGTAACTTTAAGGCACACGTAAGCCCTCACGAAATGTTGCAGGCAGTGGTTCTATGGAGTAAAAAGAGGTTTCAATTTACAGAACAAGGTAAGCATGGATTTTACTAATATATTCACTAATATATATATATACATTTTTATTAGATTAATAAAAGCAATAATGTGACTAATGAAGCACCATTCAGGTGATCCTGTGGATTTTCTATCATGGTTTTTGAACGCCCTCCATTTGGCGTTGAATGGCACAAAAAAGCGTGACTCTAGCATTATTTATAAAACGTTCTTGGGGCATATGCGAATATATACGCGGAAGATACCGCCGCTGGAGTTAGAAGAGAGCCAAAGAAGCGAACTGCTCCACACTGTCGAGTACGGAGAAACCGTAACGGAAAGCCCGTTTTTGTATCTCACGTGCGATCTTCCACCGCCTCCGTTATTCAAAGATCAATTTACAGAGAATATTATTCCGCAGGTTGGTATAGCATTTACGAATAATTAATCGGGTAAAGTTAGAGAAAGAAATTAAAAAGATAGATTTTCAAGTTTTTTTTATTTACGTAGGTAAATCTGTACACGCTCCTGAATAAATTTAATGCCGTCACTGAGAAAGAGTATAAAACCTACAAGGAGAATTTTATGAAGAGATTTGAAATCACTGAACTGCCGCCTTACCTTATACTTTACATAAAAGTAAGTTTTGCATGCGCTTTCATTACATGGATGTATAAATTCCTACAAACCAACATCTCGTATCTGATTGTTTCCTTTACTGTTTTTAGAGATTCACGAAAAATACATTCTTCGTCGAGAAAAATCCAACAATCGTGAACTTCCCTGTTAAGTGAGTATATAATATTTTGCTTATCAAAATTGTTTGCAGCATAGTTGTATATCTTGCACATTTTTTATACAGAAATGTTGATTTTGGAGATATTTTAACGCCGGAAGTAAAGGCCAAGCATCCATACACGACGTACGATTTGGTAGCTAATATAGTGCACGACGGTGAGCCAGGCCAAGGAACGTACAGAGTTCATATCTTGCATAGAGCCACTGGTCAGTGGTATGAATTGCAAGACTTGCATGTCACACAAATTTTGCCTCAAATGATTACTCTCACTGAAGCGTATATACAGGTGAATCGACAATCAACATATTTACTTCTCCGTTGTTTCAATTTTTGGCGATTATTTCTAGATTTGTTTTTTTTTTACAGATTTATGAATTAAGAAAGGATACACACATGGAAAATGGGGACAATAAGAACAAGAAAACTACATAATATATTTGACTTTTGCGAAAACAAGATAATAAAGATTTACATTTTATATGGATTTCTGTCACTATTTTTCTCCCTCGTCGTTTTGAGTTTTCTCTCGACGTTTTCATGCAACGAGCTTGTAATATTTTTAATTTGATTAACTTTTTTCAGCGATATCTGCGATGCGATATAATGTAGATGATTTTTCTCAACTGCGCATTTTTCAACTTGATTTATTCAAATTATTGACAAGCAAATCGCTTTATTTCAGTTTGAACTCAAATTGCCAGAATATTACTCGGATATGCTTGTTAAATATATCCCCGCTCTCTTTATTTATTTTTATTTTATTTTATTGCATACATCAAATATATAACAATAAAATAATATCCAGCATATTTATTGGCATATTTTCTGCAACAAGCGTGGTAACGATTTCACAGCTGGTACGACTGCTTCGCTTTTTCATAAATAATATATAACAAAAACAAATTTAACAAAAGTAATCAGTCCTTAGCCTCGGCTGTAACAAAAGTGCCGTGCATGAAACGCAAAATTCCAGCAATTCTGTCATCATCTGACGAGGAATTCTCGTTTCCCAATGGTATTCCAATTCCATCAGTTTCGGAACATTCACCGGATATTCTCGTTATCCGCATAATTAACCGAGAATATCGCGCTGATATTTCAAAAATCGCGGACCAGCATTTCCCGTTCGACTTAACCCGCTCGCGCTCGGCGCGGCGCGATCGCAGCCGAGCATTACCGAGCGCGGCTCGGCAGTTCGGGCGACCGGCGGGTGGGGGAGCGCGCCACGGGCGGAGCGGTGGGGGGCGCTGGTGTGGGGTCCGAGTCGCGGAGTCGGTGCGACTCGGAGTTCGTAACGGAGCGAAGTCGCGGGCGGTCGCGCGGAAGCGCCGAGGCGGATGAATGGTGTATGACGTGCTTCGGTCGTCTCGTTAGCCGCGCATACTTTCTATCTACCGCCGTGTGTGCCTGGTCGTCTCGTGCGACTCCGAACTCGCGTGTCTTCTCCGCTTCGCTCGCCGAAGCTCGCACGAAGAGAGCCAGCCAGCGCGATACGATTCGCGCGCGCCGTTACGATACGAGTCGCGTTCGGGTCGCGCGTGTGCAGAACGCGCGGGTGAGTGTTCGCGCGCGCGCGCGCAAGTGTGTTGATCGTCTTATTCTATCGTCGTATTCTACTCCACGTTCGCCGTCTTCAGCACATGGATTACCAGCGGGCCCGACGACGACGACGACGACGCGGGACGCTCTACTGAACGGTGAGTGTACAAGCAGTCTTTGACCGTTGCGCCGCGCCGTCGCCGAGAGCTGACACATTTGGAACGAGCGCGTCGCCGTCGCCGTCGTCTTCGTCGTGTCGTGCGAGGCTCTCGCGATGGCAGCCCGCACCGCGAATACGCAGAATCGGGGACGTCATTTGAAATTCGTGCCTACCCGCCCGCGGCGGCAACGGCCGCGTCCTTCGCGCTCGACCTTCCGCCGAAGCGACCAGCGTCGTTTCTTTTTCTCCTTCGGCAACCGCGGTTCTCTCTCGCTCTTGCCCTCTCCTCCTCCCCCCTTCTCTCCTCTCTCTCTCTCTCTTTCTCTTTCTCTCTCTCTCTCTCTCTCGTTCTCAACATCGTGCGGATTCGAATTTCGCTCGGTCCGTTCCCGACCGCGACTTTGATGTCGTCGTCGTGGCGCGCCGTTGATCTTCACGGTAACTCTGTCTTATGCACTCCCTCTCCCCTCCCCTCCGCCCCCCCTACGTCTCTCATCCGCGCGTCGTCGAATACCTGTTTCGCGGGACGCTCGAAAAAACTGTTCGATCGCGTGGCCATCGTCGTCGTCGGTGCGACGTAAGGAGCGAGGTAAGACGGGCGAACGCGCGACGGGGGGGGCAGGGGGAGGAGGCGGTGCGTTGACTCTCGCGCGCGAGGATTCCGCGGCTTTCGGATTCCTAGCGTCTCGCGAGCCTTGCGATCGTCGCGTCGCACACGCCGCTATTCGCGGATGACACCGCGCGAGGTGAGAAGTCCTTCCGCCCGAAAAGTCGCGCGCCCGATCTTCTCGGTAGTCGTTCGTTCTTACTTGTTGTTCGTCCGTACGCTCGTTTTTTACTCTCGCGACCTTGACGCAACGCTGAAATTCGAGGGAGAGAAAGTTGCTTGTTGTCTGTTAATTATTATTTACATACGCGTATCCTTAACCTCAACCTCAACCTTCGGCCAAGACCCGAGGAAGATTAGCTGTTATTTATTCTCCGCTTGTATAACCTTCGGTGTTAAATCCGAGGAAGATTGCTTTTTCACTTTTCGTCTATTTATATATTTATAATCTCAATCCGCGCATAACCGTAAGGTTCGGAGCGCGAAACGTGTTCTCGTGGTCGGCGGCGCGATTTATTTCGCGTATCTGGGCTATCGCCCACGTCCTCCAGGCTGCGCGCGGCCCACCTGAGGTCGCCGTTGCTCAACTTTGTATCGCGCAGCGATTACGTGGGGCTCTTAAAAATGTCGGGTATCAGCGCGAGGCGGGGATAATCCATGAATGGAACGGAACGGGGTGTAAACAAAGACACGGTTCGATATACTCGGGAGAGTCACGCGTTCGCGATAGCGAGAGAGCGACAACGTTGCTTCTCGACCAATCACTCAAGCAAAGTGATTTCAAAACAAGCGGAATCATCAAAATTTTAGAGGATTTTATTCTTACATATGGAATCCTCAAGAGGATTCCTAGAAAATTAAGAGGAAAATATTATAAACATGCTATTCTTAAAAAGTTAGAGGAATTATATATCATATATATATATAATGCAAATCTGATTGACTTTAATATAAATTTCCGTTTGTACACAGATTATTTAATCTTTTTTTTAAGATGACCATTATTTATTCTTACTGTACTTTACTCTTACTGGTTATACTGGTTAATTTGAAAAAATTATTATAATGTACAGCGAAAAGTAATACGTCGGCAGTCTGAAAAGTTCTCGGCCTAACAATGAAAGAAAATTTTTTTTGCCGTGAAATATATTTTATTTTTCGATATAATCTCCTAAAACTTCAATACATTTGTTCCAACGTTTTTCCAATAATTCAATACCATTAAAGTGTGATTCCGGGAGCTCTGCAAAATATCCATCCACGGCTGCAATAGCTTCGTCATCTGATGTAAAATGCTTTCCAGCCAGGAATTTTTTCAGGTTTGGAAACAGATAATAGTCAGAGGGAGTTAAATCTGGTGAATACGCTGGATGTTCAAGCAATTCGTACTTTAATTCGTTGAATTTTGCCATTGTCAAAACGCTTGTGTGAACACGTGCATTGTCTTGATGAAAAACGAGTCTTTTCCTCTTTGAAGCAGGTCTTCTCTCACGAATTTTTGCATCCAATAGATCCAAAAGGTTACAATAATATTCAGAGTTAATCGTTTCATCTTTCTGAAGATAATCGATCAACAAAACACCTTTGTAACCCCAAAAAACTGTTGCCATAACCTTTCCTGCTGGTGGAACCGTCTTTGCCTTTTTTGGTGCACGTCCACCGGCTTCAATCCATTGTTTCGACTGTTTTTTTCGCTCTGGTGGTATAATGGTGGATCCAAGTTTCATCAACAGTTATGAAACGACGCTTGAAATCCATTTTCCGTTTTGCTTAAAACGATCCAAACACGCTTGAGAAATACGCATTCGAATGCGTTTTTGGTCAATTGTTAGCAAATGCAGCACCCATCTTGCACAAAGCTTTTTCATATGTAATTCTTCATGCAATCATCTAACACCATATCATAGACTTGTTGAATGTTTTGTGGTGTTGTAGCAGTTTTTGGACGACCTTCGCGTGGATCATCTTCGAGGCTTGTACGACGACAGATTTAAAAAGAGCAGCCCATTTTTTCACAGTGGAAAGTGAAGGTGATGCATCCTTGTACACTTTTAACAATTTCGGATGAATTTCTGTTGGTGTTAAACCATCAAAAACAAAGAATTTAATCACTGCACGATATTCAATTTTTTCCATTTTAAAAAAAGACAGTGACACGTCAATATTAAACTGGTGCTACTACTCGAATGACTTGACAGATCGAAATAAAATTTTACATGGTTTTATATCAAGGATGCCACTTTCCAATACAATTATAGTTTGACAGTTTCTAGTGCCATCTATGTGTCAGGCCGAGAACTTTTCAGACTGCCCTCGTGTATATATATATACATATATAGATGTATTTCTGGATCCAGTTCTACAATAAGTAGGCACGAATAAAATAAAATCATCATAACAAGTAAATTTCCAATCAGTTTTGTTGTGGACTTTACAGCTACAAAGATGTTCATCGTAATCAATTGTATGAAACATAGTTAAAGGAAAGAATATATTACTCAACTTGTTGCAATAGATTATAAACTGTATTTGACCAAATATATGTAAATTATCTTCGCTATATGTCACAGCATCAAACTTTTTTTAAACAAATCTTTTTTAAAAAAACGTTCCAAATATTCTGATCCATGAGCGTATGATTATTTTTTCGTTCATGTCTAAAAGTAAAGCATGGCTGAGCAAAAGAAGCCGACATTCAAATCAACATATTCCTCTTTATATGAGAGGGAAATTAATTGATATAAGAGGAAATCCTCTTGAAATAAGAGGAAAACAGTTAGAATAATATCTAATAAATTTCAGATGAATGGTTCCACTTTAATCGCTTTGTCGAAAGAGGAGTCCTTTTCCTGTAAAAGGCTTCGCTTAGAATATGAAACTATGGGAAGAATCGCTTCGCAAATGCAATGCTTTCTTTTTGTGCTCGATGTTGCTCGAAAAAAAGAAGAAAATAGACGCTCTGTCGTGCGGATTTTCGTCAACGCTCTCTCGATAGCGGAAGCTCGCGTGCTGCTGCACGCTCTCTGCTGTATGCTCTCGTTTTCACTCGCCGTGAATGAATAATGCAGTCGAGGATGATTTATCAGTCGGAAAATGGCGCTCTTAACGATACAATTAACGAGCTATTCCCGTGACGGGAGGTCCCTCTCGCGCGATCGTCCCGCCGGCTGCGGGAGGACTATTCCTCCTCGCGTGTGTGACGTGCGCGCTCGGATCGATTAATTATCCCCGCCGATGATTATCCGAGCAGATCTCGACATAAATTACGGCGGTGCCGAGGGAGAGAGGGAGAGAGGGAGAGAGAAAGAGAGGGAGAAAGCGCCGGCGAGTTTACGCGCCCGTCCCGGGACTCGTAAATTTTCGGCCGGTGAATTCGCGCGCGAGCGACTCCGCCGCGCCGCCGCGAAGCGGCGCGGCGGCGTCGGCGAAGGCCGACTCGCGGAAGTGACCGAGACGCTTCAACGACGCCGAAATTAATCACGCCGCGGTGTCCAAACTCGGTGCTGGCTCGATGAACGGCGCGCGATAAGCGCGAGGCGAGTGATTTTCGGGCGGAATTCGCGAAATTCGCGCGGAGCGCGCGCGCGCGCGCTCGCGCGTTAAAAACCCGCCGGGCACGCGATCGACGGAGATGCGGCGATACGTTCTATTATCGCCGCTTGAGTTTCCAGCTCTCTGCGACGATAGTATCTTCTCGCTCGGGCGATACATGCGATATGCCGCTGCGGCGCGGTCAGACGGGAAATTCGTTTTGCGCTTTGCGTCAAAGGACGAGGAATCGCGCGAAATTTGCCGAGATTTTCAGATGGCTAGATTTCCCACGGGATAATCTTAAGATGAGGTAGCCTGGGGGAACCGCAGCCGCTTATGCGCGGGATAAAGTATCCAGATACTTGACACCTTCTGCGTATTACATATTTACATTATATATTTTTATCGTGTATTATTACCTTTTTATATTGTTTAATTATTTTTTTATGTATTAGTTTATAATTTATAATTATAATTTATAATTATATATTATTTTATATTTTATAATGATATATTATATATATATATATATATATACACATTATACATATTATATATATGTTATATATATATTATATGTAGGGTGCTAAATTTGAAACGTAACAGGTAAAAAAACTCGAAAATGAATATGAAAGGTATTAAAAAAAGCTAAAACACGCGTTCCATGATTTCGAGGGGGAAAGAGAATGGCATTATGAGTTTTTTATTTGGAGGGCGTTTTCAAGGTCAACTTAATTTTTTAAAATAGAAAGCCCAATTTTTTATTATATCTTCTTTTTCTACCAATTACATTTAACAGCTTTTGTCTGAAACATTTTTTTGTTTGCCTAATATTTTGTGAAATATTTAAGGAAAACCTG